TTTTTGATTCAGATTCAAAAAAATGATCAATCGATTGCGATTTTCTTTTTCCACCATCGCATGTGTTATTATTAATGATGAGGTCATCACTCTCTTCTTGAGGGGAGAGTGGCGAGTAGTAATACTGTTTATAGGTATTTTCATCGAAGCTCAATGATTTCTGCAACAACACAGTTATCATGTTAATATCAATTTGTTAACACTTAATCATAAAAGTTAAAAAAGTTAAAGTTACAGCCTATTAAAGTCCACTGCTGAACATAGGCCTCCTCTCATTTCTGAGAGGGTTTTAGGGCAAGGAAATGTCCGCCGCGCTGCCTCAATGTGTGTTGGCGAACTTCACATGCCTTCGAAATTTTCTCAGACATGCAGGTTTCCTCACGATGTTTTCCTTCACCACCAAGCACGTGGTAATAAGCACTTAAAATTGCGATTAACAATTTAATTGGTGCTGGCGGGGATCGAACCCGGGTCGCGTACTGTGAAATTTACAGCTAGCGCTAACCATCTGAGTTACCACGGCTTAATCATATACATACACAATATTTAAATAAAATAATACACTCGCATGAAAATAACAGAAAAAAAGTAATTTAGTCAATAGAATAAACACTTACATCCATAGCCTTTGGTGCATTGAAATAACACAAATGTACTATTGATAGATCCACTGCAATTAATAGAATCAGGCGTTACTTTGCGGAAATCCATTATATAAAAGCTTTTACAAAAATTTGCTTCGCAAATATCCGCGTTATAAAATAAAATGATGTGTCTTACCTAGTATGAAGAAGCACCTCCCGCCCTCCCTCAATTGCGTGCACTAACCCCGTCACCACTAATCCCAGCACCGCTACTCCCAACACCACTACACTAGGCAAGACACACCACTGACGATAATACGACACGTGTTTCGCCTCTACACGAGGCATCCTCAGGTGATATAGACTCTACGGTGGCTAACCGCTAAGTCACTTAGCGTCAGTTCTTACGAGCTTCCAGAACATTTTAATATTTTCCTGGAAGTTATCAGATATCCTTCTATCATTTTTATCTATCCTTTCTTGCTTTTTCCTTTCAACAACTTCTTTTACTCTCTTATTTATACGTCTATAGTCTGCCTTTTTTCTTTCAATCTCATCATTCATACCGCCAGAATTACCAGCTTTATTTGCTAGTAAATCTAGCCATGCCCTCTTCTTTGTTTCAACTTCCATGCGTACCTCATCATCCCACCACAACGTATTACGTTTCCTTTCATTCGTTCTCTTACTTACACCACATATTTCAGTGGCTGCATCCACCAAAACTTTCTTAATATTATTCCATACATTCTTCAAGTCTAAATCATTCATACATAATTCATTCAACCCACTTATATTTTCCCTCAGTCTGCATTTATACTTCTCTTTCACACCTTCATCTTGTAACCTCTCTATTCTTATACGCTGTAACGCAGTGGTAGACACAGATGTCCGATGCCGCCAACGTCTGAATAGACCATTAATTCGGCATAAGACCAAGTAATGATCCGTCCCTACGTTGGACCCCCGGTAAACCCTTGTATCTACCACTGCGCTCCTCATTCTTTCATCCACAATTATAAAATCTATCATGCTTCTATCATCCCCTCTTTCCCATGTATACATGTGAATTCTCTTATGGCGAAAGAAAGTGTTCGCCACAAAAAGTTTCTTTTCCACACATACGATTATTATTCTTAATGTCATAACTCGAGAGTTAGGGCTGTTTGAATATGACTCTTTTGCGAGGGTCATGTATGTAGAGCCTATTAATTTTCGATAATGGATTAAATAAAAATCCGCTATAACTTTTAAGAAACTTTTAATGGCATTAAGTATTATTATTAATTTAATAATTGTTCAAAATGTCCATCTCTATTCTGTAGACAGGCCACTGACCTTACAGCGATTTGTTGTGTTAATATTAAGATTAAGGCTATGTCGATTCTTATGTCATCCGCAATCGTCATTATTTTATCGAGTAGTTCATGTCTGCTATTTGGCACTGTAGTGTAAACCCTCTGCTTCATCCATCCCCATAAAAATAATCCAGAAGTGTTAAATCCGGCGAGGTGGCCAAGCTACCGTTCCACCACGTCCTATCCATGGTGAATAATTTTTATTAAGAAAAGCTCTCACAGCACGTGCTTAGAGTGCTGGTGCACCGTCCAACTGTAGCCATATGCGCCTTCGGTTGATCACTGGTAATTCCTCCATGATTTCTCTAAATGTGTTTCTTAGAAAATCTAAAAATTTGGGCCATTAATTGTATTTGGTAATTCAATTGGTCCAATTAATTTGTCGTCAATCATATCCGCCCACACGTTTACTGTAAATTCATCTTGTAATTTACTGGGCCTTACTGCATTTGGATTTTCTTGCATCCATAAATGCTGGTTTCTATGGTTTATAATACCAGCTCTTGTAAAAGTCGCCTCATCGGTCCACATGATTTTTTTACAAAATGTCGGTTGACGTCGCACACAACCGTTGAGCCACGAGCAAAATGTGGCTCGCACAGCATAGTCTGGCTCTGGAATATCTTGCACGCGACGAAAATGGTACGGATGCATGCCTTCGCGTCTTAAAATTTTCTACACAACCCATTTTGACAAATGCAGCATCATTGCTAGGTGATGAGACGAATAGTTAGGCATGTTTTTATGAAAAGTACGTAGTCACTGCAAACTACAACAAACTCAGCAGGATATCTCGGTGAAGGAATAGCACACAAAACGGAACGGAATAGTAGCAATCGCAACGCAGAGCGGAGGACAACTAACTGATCTAACAAACATTTATCTTCGATACCTGCGCTGGTAAAACATGATTTTTTATACTACTTATTCACCGCCCTAACAATAATACAAATCATTTTCCGTCCTTGTCACATAAACCCTATTCAATGTAGCAGGTAGCTATACATGGGTACGGCTCTGAGACTGCTCACCTCTGCTTCACGACACTCTCGCAGATTACTTGCCTTCGTCTCGACTCACCGCAGACTACAAGGCAATCCCTGGCACTTGCTCCGGCTCATTAGTTCTCACCGGCATCACTTGAGATTAGTACGGCATGCATTACACACCGGCATATCACTCACACCGGTGTCACTTGCCCTTACGCACACAGCATGCATTCCCCACCGGCATTAAAGACACACCGGGAATAGGACTGCACTATCGACCTCCGGTCTGAGCAGGGGGTGATGTGGTGTCGCTGTCACAAGCGAAAGACATCGAAGCCTGATTCGCGCTAACAAAGTTCCGAAGTTAAAGCAGTATATATAGAATAGCTCCGAACTACCACTCGGAGCGTTGGCCGCTCTCCGGGCATCCCCGGGCAGAACACCTTGCCCGGTAGGAGATCTCCCCTTTTCCTTTCACCGGCTACAAATACATAGATACCTAATTATAATATGTTTTAATAATTATTATTCTTATTTTAATAAATACGTTGTTTTATCTAATTCTTTTTTTATTTTTATCACTAACCCACAAAATGATAAAACTAAATACACTATCGATAACGCTTACCGACAACAATAATGCGCATCACTATGCTCGCCCCTAAGGCCCGTCAGTGGAAGAGAGAGCGAAAAACTCCGATGATTTATGACCCAAACTGCAGGCACAAAATAATTCTAGTATAGTACTTTTTCCAGTTTTAAGGTATACTACCTAACACTAACTTGTTAAAGGAGATAGTTTCTTTTTGTATGGGAAATGGGCCCACCACAAATTTTAGGGAACCTTAATGAAATGCATGTCGATTTATTTATTATAATTTAATAATTTATATAATTTATATATTACAATAGTGATATTAGTTTTACCGTATCTAATGGGAATACTGAGTAATTAGCAAATAAATTTTATTTTATTTTATTTATTTTTATTTAATGATACATAAAACATATTACAATAGTGCATAGTTACTATACAGCACCATTAAACCGCAAAACGGTTTGTATTGGTGCTTGTAGACGTCTATACGCATAAATATATTATTTTTAATAACTACCATCGTATAATTGATAAAGTTAAGTATGATAACAACTAACAACCTATTCATTGTATTAGTGACATGACGAGAAACAGGTTTCGCTAGTTTACCGCGATGAGCGTGTACGGTATACCATACATATACAGGCTGATTTCTATAGCAAATTTTTTTTAAAATAATTATTTAATAAAATAATTTTATATATACCTATATATATACACACATATACACACACATATATATATATACATATACACATATATATACATATAGATTTAATATCATTTGAGAATTTATTAAGGAAGACAATTCAGGTTTTCTAGTACATAATGCTTAATTTTATATTTTAAGTTTTTTTCTGTCAATTCGACCTTAAGGTTTTCTGGAAGATCGTTTAGAATAGACGCTAATATATTAACAGTTCTCCTGTCTCCATAAAAGTTATTTGATTTTATTTTTGCTACAGATTTTTTATTACTTTGTCGCGTTCTATCAGAAAATTTTACCATTTTTAATGAAGGAATCGTATTAAAAACTTCAATCATGATATGACATTCAAGTTTTTTATTTATATGACGTTACAGTATTTAAAAAGACCAATATAGTTATTTTCTTTATATTTTTGTTTTACCTTGTCATCTACAATGAGCTTTAAGAATTTTAGTTGTAAATTAAAGATCCTTCTTATGTATGTTTTGAATGTACGACCATAACTTTTTATTCCATATGATATTATCGAATCTACTAGCGCATGGTACATTGATAGTAGTACTGAATATGGTACTTTATTCTTTATAATATAGAATATTGCAAGCAATGACCTTAGCTTATTACAAATCATATCAATATGAGGACCCCAGATAAATCTGTTGTCTATGATTAAGCCTAGGTATTTTTGATTTGTAACTTGTTCTATAGGTGGACATATGCATTTTTGAATAAGGCCATGCATCCATTCATGTGTATGTACGGTTATTGATATTGGACTATATACTGTGTTATGACTCGACCTAATATGCATGACTTTAGTTTTTTCTGCGTTAATAACTAGTCCCATGTCATGTGACCATTGATTTAAGAGCGTTATATCGTCTTGAAGTGTTTTTTGAGCGGCGGCGATGTCACGATCTGCTGATACGAGACAAGTATCGTCCGCAAATTGATATAGATTACACTTTGTTATAAGGTAATTAAGGTCATTTACATAAGCAAGGTAATGCAAGGGACCCAATACTGATCCCTGTGCTGTTCCTTCTGTAATGTTTATTTTATCACTAAGTGTATTATCCACCCTAACAATATATTGTCGGTTACAGAGGTAGTTTTTACTCCAGTCTAATAAAGGTCCTCTGATACCTGTGTCTCGAAGCTTTTCAATTAGAGTTTCATGTCGTAAAGTATCGAAAGCCTTACTGTAGTCAATAAATGCGACTAATACGCGTCTTTTCTCATCAAGGTGAGTATTAATATCATTTGTAAATTTTGATAGTAGCTGTGTAGTGCTTTTACCAGGTTGAAATCCGAATTGATTGTTAGATAGAATAGAGTTTGCAGTGTAAAATGTTTGTATTTGTTCACATATATATTTTTCTGTTATTTTGTCGATAATCGGAAGTATTGATATCGGTCTGTAGTTGGCATATTCTTTTTGGGAGTGTGGCTTATAAATTGGCCTAATAATACTTGTTTTTAATCCGTCTGGATAAATACCCTTTCTTATGCTTGTGTCTATAAGTTTTGTCAAAGCAAAAGAAATCTTTTCACCTATGCCTTTTATATCAATAGCTCGAATGCCATCAAAGCCGGGTGCTTTATTGACGTTAATATTTTTTAATATTTTTGCTACTTGCTGTACACACGGTTTTTTATAATAAATAGACAAGCAAGCCGGTTTTTTATAACTGTTTGAATCCAAAAATTATTTTTACAATTTAGTATTATTTTAGACACATTTTCTTTAAAACTAAAGGCGAAATTATTTGCTATCATTTGAGTATTTATATTGTTTGTTTTAAAAGCTTTATTTATTACTTCGTCTACAGTTTGGGTTATTCTCCCTGTTATTTTGTTAATAATATCCCAGAGTTGTATCTGTATCTTACTATAACCTAAAAACAAACTAAAAGCTATTGTCTATTAGTTTTCACCGGTATTATAAGTTAAAACAGTGCACTGTTCAATAAATATGGGCGCGTTCCCACTATCTCGTAACGACTAATTTATCGTTCGACGACTGTCGTCTCTACCTGTTCCCATTATAACGATTGTTTGTCGTCAACATTTTTTATCGTTTAGCGACTGTCGTATCTAGCTGTTCCCATTAGATCGCTCAGATCGCTCGCATCATCAGCAAGCTACAAATCTAGTCGCCTCTGCGTTCGCTTGGTGATTACTAGTGCGTTTACTCTCCTGAGTTCAATGGACGAAGATGAAATTTTAATAATGTATTACTTTTTGAAAAGAAGGAAAATGAAGCAAGAAATGAAAAGAAAGTACTGGGTACATCCAATGTTAATGAAAAGAATTCCATTAGGATTATGTCAGAGTTATATAGAAGAATTAAAAAGTGATGATGGAAAGTTTTATGAGTATTTAAGAATGACTGTTTCCACCTTTGATAGCCTACTGGCACGACTTGCAGACAATCTTAGAAGAGAAAACACACATTTCAGAAATTGTATAAGTGCCGAAGAAAGACTAGTGATAACTTTAAGGTAAGTAAATAAAATGAAAATTCTTTATTAATGTATACATTTATTTATTTAGAGATTTATTTTAGAGTTACACGTTTTATAAGTAAAGACATCTTTAAATTATATATTGTCAAAATTAAAAGAATCTTGTGTGCTATCAGACAAATTAGTATAGACTGAATTTGGTGATGCAGCCGGTTCCATAACTTGATTGCTAGTCGAAGTTGATACACCTGGATCTTGTGTAAAATATCCTGTCGGTTGTGATAAATGGTTTTGGTAGTCACCATAGTTTGCATAAGTATCATATAAATTATTACGAAGGCGTTTCTTATTAATTTTTTCAATCAGTTGCATAATACCCGTTTGGAATTCAAAATTGTCATCATTGTCGAATGATGCCAAAGATGGTAAAATTCCTTTAATAAAGGACACATGTGGGTGTTCTTGATTATTTAATTTATAATCTAGAAATTGTGACATTTTATCATCTAATGTGTCAGTCTTAGTTTTCTTTTGAGTAGAAGGTGCTGCATCACTTAATGTATCAGAGATAGAATTATTAGGCTCATTAGATGAATCAGAGGTTGTACGGGGCTCAGTAACTTTTAATAAAAAAGACAGCTGATTCTTATAAACATACGGCCTAGTAGTTTTTGCGCCTGCACCAGATCGCTTTTTTTCTTTTTCATTTTTCAGGGATCTCATAAATGCATCTCGAATATGTGTCCACTTTGTAGATATCTGTGTAGCTGTAAAAGTAAAATAGACTTAAAATTAAAATTTGTTTGTGTATAGATTTAACATTATATGTATTAACATATAATCAGTCTAATACGTAGTCAAATTATTGTTCACGCAAACATCTGCACGTTTTTCAGAGTTTAAAAAACTATATTAAGATCGAGTTTTTCCACTAGTATCCCCGGATGTTTCCGTGAACAAGTAAGGGACTACGTATTAGACTGATTATATGTTTATACATAATTATAATGTTAGGGCATTGGTCCTCGAATATAAGCGTATTATAATAGCTGTTGTATTTATTTACAGATATTTGGCGTCGGGATGTTCGTTTAAACAACTGCATTATAATTTTAGAGTGGGAATGTCAACCATCAGCAAAATAATCAAAGAAACGTGTTCTGTTATTTGGAGCGTATTAAGTGCAGAATATTTAAAGTTGTCCAATACCGAAGAAGAATGGAAAGCGATCGCTGAAGCTTTTAAAACGAAAGCAAATTTTCCTCATTGCCTCGGTGCGCTGGACGGCAAGCACATAAGGATTACAAAGCCAATAAATAGTGGTTCTATGTTTTTTAACTATAAGGATTATTTTTCTTTTATTTTATTTGCAATTGTTGATTCAGAATACCGTTTCATTTACGTTAGTATTGGTTCATACGGAAAAGAGTGTGATTCATCTATCCTAAAACAATCCAATTTTTGGAAGAAACTAAATGATGGTACTTTAAATATACCAAGACCCACGCCATTACACGAAAATATGCAAGAAGAAATACCATATGTATTTGTTGGAGACGAAGCCTTTACATTGTCACAAAATTTATTGCGACCTTATGGCGGTACTCATTTAGACAATAAGAAAAAGATATTTAATTACCGTCTAAGCCGCGCGAGAAGATATGTTGAATGCACTTTTGGTATCTTATCCAATAAATGGAGGATCTTGCATAGACCATTGGATGTATGTGCAGAAACAGCTATTGAAGTTGTAAAGGCTTGTACGGTATTACATAATTTTTTAATAAAAAAAGACGCTATATACTTGGAGAATACCCCAACCGTTATGCCCCTGGTAAACATGCCTGCAACACAGCTGCGTTCAAACGAAGGTGGTGGAAACGCAGTGCGCTTACAATTTTCCGACTATTTTGTATCTGAAATAGGCTCCGTACCTTGGCAAAACATTACAGCACATGTGTCATAATAAATAAAAAGTTTCAGAAACTTACCGAAATCTTTTCTTTCCTTTTCCTCCAACTTGACAAAATTAGGTTCAAAAACGCAACAAATTTCTCTCCACGCGGCTAATTTCAAACCTTTGTCTTTATAAATGTCTAAAGTTTTGTCCCAAAGTACAGCCCTTTGTTCCACAAGTGGAATTAAAACTTCCGGTGTTATATTATTAGCCATTGTTATACGTCCACCATGCGCAGGAGTCTGACAAGTTCTAACACGCACAAAACAAACCGAGTACAGACGCGAGGGGCGCGCGGGTGCGAGAGGGAAGGGAAAACACGTGTTCGTCTACATAGAGTTGCCGTCCCCGATTTTATCGTTTTACGACTGTCGTGCTTGCCGTTCCCACTGTCACGACAAAGTGTCGTCACTGCAAAAACTGTCGTAGACGACAGTAAATTGTGTCGTTCTAAATGTGAACACCTCCATTTAAACATATAAGCCACGACACTTAAAACTACACGATTATCTGTCGTCACGACACGGTGGGAACGCGCCCTAAGAGTATAAAACAAAGTTGTAGTTACATTCAGCATTTATAGGTACTTTAAAATTTGTTTGCCTCCCACTCTTATGCATGCCCTACATCTTCGGGTAAATGATCTTCTGAGCAGTCTTGTTTATCGTCGCTCGCATATTTTTGATGCGGCTGCTCTGACACGACTACGTAGTTCATCCAAAGACCGCACAGGCTTACAGTATACTTCCTCTTTCAGACAGCCCCAGTAAAAAAAATCCAATGGATTTAGATCCGGTGAACGTGGAGGCTACAAAATTGGCCCTAGACGTCCGATCCATCTATTTGGGTATCTGCTAATTAAATATGCACGAAGCGGAACAGCATAATGCGCAGGACAACCGTCATTTTGCAGCCAATACGATTCCCTCAGCTCCTCGGGAACCTCTTGTAATATATTGGAGATCATTTTGAAGAAACTCCAAATAACTTTACCCCGTTAAATTCCCCGGTAATTTAAATGGGCCAATTATCATACCATTTAATATTCCGGTCCAATAATTTATTTTAAATTGGTATTGCGACCTGTCTTCACGTATAAGATGGGGATTTTCTAGTTCCCAACTATGTAAATTGTGTAAATTTAAGTAACCGTCTCTTTTAAGCGTTGACTCATCGCTCCACAAAATTTTATTAAAAAATTGCGGGTCTTCTTCCATCTTTGCCAGCATTTGCCGGCAAAAACGCACTCTTGAGAGATAATCTCTTTTACAAAAATTTACTTCGCAAATATCCGCGTTATAAAATAAAATGATGTGTCTTACCTAGTATGAAGAGCACCTCCCGCCCTCCCTCAATTGCGTGCACTATCCCCGTCACCACTAATCCCAGCACCGCTACTCCCAACACCACTACACTAGGCAAGACACACCACTGACGACAATACGACACGTGTTTCGCCTCTACACGAGGAATCATTTACTACGTGTATGTTCCTGGATCCCAGATTCAAATTGTATTTTGAAGATCAGTATGTAGCTGACACTACAAAACAAAGAATTATAGAAATGATTACAACAATTATAAATAAAGAGGATCGAAATAATCCCCAAATTCAAAACGAAGAGCAGCAGCTATCAGATCAAGCAGCAAATCCTCCACCTCAGCTTCAAATTAATTTAGTATGGCAGCAATATGCCGAAAAAATGAAAAATATACAACCCAAGGGCACGGCAACTTCTCGAGCGATTTTAGAAGTGCAAAGATATTTGGACGATAAAGTTGTGTTGCCGAGTGAGTATATATCACCACTAGAGTGGTGGAAAAAGCGGAAGGATGTATACCCGCATTTGTATGCCCTAGCACTCAAAAAGTTAAATGCAATGGCCACGAGTGTCCCCTGTGAAAGATTATTTTCCTCCTGTGGATTGTTACTTATGACAGGAGAACGAGGCTGGGGACTCGAAAAGTTCAACAATTAATGTTCTTAAATCAAAATTTACGAGGCTGATTTTCTCCGTATATATAAAAAATAATTATTGTTAGTAGGTGATTTAAAAAAAAATTAAAAAAAAATTAAAAAAAAAAACTAAAAACAGGCAGAAACTGATTACTTTGAAAAAAATGAATTGAAATCTTTTAAATACGCCAACAATCTATATGTAGATAAATCTTTACGTTGACAGTCCTAAGCCTGTGTAAAGTATGAAGGGAAAATTACAATTCATTAGTGCATACGTACACGTATCGGTGGTACGCAAAGACTATCATACTTTAAAGTGTACCCTATTCCAACAATACCAATCTTTATGCTTCCGATGATATCCCGGACGTCAGTCTGAGCGAGATTAGAATGGCTCTCCAGCACCTTAAAAACGGCAAGGCCCCAGACGAGGATGGAATTACAGCGGAGCTTCTGAAAGCGGGTGGAAAACCGGTACTTGAAGTCCTTCAGAAGCTCTTTAATTCCGTCCTCCATGGTGGCATTACACCGGAGGCGTGGAGCAGAAATGCGGTGGTCTTGTTCTTCAAGAAAGGCGACAACGCTCTCTTGAAGAACTACAGACCGATTTCCCTTCTGAGCCGCGTCTACGTTCTGTTTTCGAGAGTCATTACGAATCGTCTCGCGCGCAGACTTGACGACTTCCAGCCTCCCGAACAAGCCGGTTTCCGAAAAGGCTTTAGCACCATAGACCACATACATACCCTTCGGCAAATTGTACAGAAGTCCGAGGAGTACAATTTGCCACTATGTCTGGCGTATGTGGACTATGAGAAAGCCTTTGATTCCGTCGAAATTTGGGCGGTGCTGCAATCCCTTCAGCGATGCCAAGTTGACTGTCGGTATATCGAAGTGTTTAAGTGCTTGTACAGTAGGGCTACGATGGCTATACGAGTACAGAACCAGAGTACGAAACCTATCCAATTGCAGAGAGGTGTAAGACAGGGTGACGTCATATCCCCGAAACTCTTTACCGCTGCATTGGAAGATGTTTTCAAGCTTCTGGACTGGAAAGGATACGGTATCAACATCAATGGCGAGTTCATCACTCACCTTCGATTTGCCGACGATATTGTCCTTATGGCAGAATCGCTGGAGGACCTAAGCACTATGCTCAATGACCTCAATAGTGTTTCCCAACGGATAGGTCTTAAGATGAACATGGACAAAACAAAGATCATGTTTAATGTCCATGTCACACCTATGCCGGTAGTTGTTGGGAACACTAAGCTCGAAGTTGTTGACGAGTATGTTTACCTGGGACAAATAGTCCGACTAGGTAAGTCCAACTTCGACCGAGAGGTCAATCGACGGATTCAACTCGGTTGGGCAGCGTTCGGGAAATTACGACACATCTTCTCGTCAGGTATACCTCAAAACTTGAAAACGAGACTGTACACCCAGTGCGTGTTGCCAGTGATGACATACGGAACTGAGACGTGGTCCTTCACTGCTGGCCGGATGAGGAAGCTCAAGGTCACTCAGCGAGCTATGGAGAGGACTATGCTCGGAGTTTCTCTGCGTGATAAACTCAGAAATGAGGATATCCGCAGTAGAACCAGAGTGACCGACATAGCCCAACGGATTAGTAAGCTGAAGTGGCAATGGGCCGGCCATATAGCTCGAAGAACCGACAACTGATGGGGAAGAAAGGTTCTCGAGTGGCAGCCTCGTACCGGCAGGCGAAGTGTAGGGCGTCCCCCCACTAGATGGAGTGACGACCTGGTAAGATATGCAGGAAGTCGATGGATGCAGGTGGCTCAGGACCGTGCTTTGTGGCATTCTTTGGGGGAAGCCTATGTTCAGCAGTGGACTTGTGAAGGGCTGTAATGATGATAATGATGAATCTTTATGCACACTTCATGGACTAGGAGGAACAGGTATTTGGATCAAGTATTTGTACGGAATTGGACTAGGTGCACCTAGTACAAAATTTACCTAGTACGACTCATCTCTAGTATCCATACACTTGTCCATCGATGAGACGATATTTTATTGTCTTGTAATGTAAACAAACAAGTTAGTATAAACTATAAACTTTATGTTTTTGCTACCAAAAAAGAATATAACCACAGACTTTATTCTTACACTAGTGATGCAACTCGAATCTCTGTTTTCAATCGATTCAATCGAGTGAATTTGTGTAACTCGGTACTCGAGTGAAAATAAATTTTACTCGAGTCCGCTTGCACTCGAGTTACCGATTGAATTCGGCGCACCGCACCGTGTAGATTCGAAGATCGCTAGATAGATGTCGGTTCACTAATTCACTTGTAGTATAAGGCGCCGCGAGTGACGTTACTGGTTACATCCAAATTCAAACATGCATCTGTCATGTTGTAGTAAAATATGAACTTAGTTTGATTTATAATATCGTTGTTGTTTATTTTTTGTTACTTCGTATAAGTAGTGCATAACATAAAAGGTGATTTAAATGTACTTGTTTGTTTAAAGTATGAATGATAACAATAAACAACAAAATAAAAATCGTCAGCGTGGCATTATTTAAAAAAAATGGAAGTGATTTGTAAGATATGCAAAAAGCAGTTTATAGATTTTGAAATACTTCACATATCTGTAGTAAATAAAAAACATGGAAATACTACAAATAAATAAATAATAAATATTTGTATTTTATTTCATCATCATCATCATCATCATTACAGCCCTTCACAAGTCCACTGCTGAATATAGGTCTCCTCCAAGGAATGCCACAAAGCACGGGTTATCTGTAGTGTTGCCCAAATGCAAGAACAAGATGAGACTTAGCCAGTCTTGGTCTTGGTCTTGCGCCAATACACCTGGTCTTGTTCTTGGTCTTGGTATTGCGCTCTCAGTCTTGTTCTTGGTCTTGGTCTTGCAGCAAGAGTCTCGCAAGTCTCGCAAGCCTATTGCTATTTATTAAACGTTACTTTAGATCTTAGAACTTAACACAGTAGGCACATTTTGAGCTTGAATTAACATAGCCATAGAAAGACCAACCAAATTAATAAATGTCTAAACATTTAATGAGAAATTCTAAAAATCAACTA